GCCTCTCTCCTGGGCCAGTCTCTCCATGGCCTCTCTCCTGGGCCAGTCTCTCCATGGCCTCTCTCCTGGGCTAGTCCCCATCACCTCTCTCCTGGACCACAGGATCTCCCCACTGGCTGCCACCCTACCTCTGCTGATTAAAGCAGAAGGCATGTCATGTGCCCCTCCCTCTGTTCACACTCCTGAGGAGGAGCCCCTTCAGGACCTGCCCCGCCCACTTCCCCCTCAGTCACTTGGCCTTCGCTTCCTGGTCTCCTTGCTGCTTGTTGGCTTGTGCGGGCAAGCTCCTGCCACATGACCTTTGCATGTGCTTCTCACTCTGCCCGCAATGCCATCCTCTGGGCATCTGCAGGTGAGGGCATCCCCCTCACCACCTTCAGATCTTTGCTTAGATATCACCCCACCCCATAGTTCCTGGCCCACCCTAAATCCCTTCCCCACCTCACTTGATTTTTGAGCCCAAGTATTGATCACCTCTGGCTGTACCATACAGCTTTGCCTCTTAAAGGGTCCGCTGTCTACCTCTAGCAGGCAAGCCCCAGGAGGGAGGGACTCGTCTCTGCTGAATGAACGAAGTGGTTGGGAGATGGGGTCACTAGGGTGGACCCACCAGTGGGGGTGGGGACCGGGAGTCAACTCCACTGCGAAAATTGCATTTGAGAAGCGCCATCCACGAGGCCCCCCCCAGGAAATATCCAGCAGGCAGTGGGAGCTGAGAGCCCTCTCCCGTGACTCCGGAGTGTGTGTGTGAGACGGGGGTCTGATGATATCTGAACCCACATCTGGAAGATGCAGGAGCCCACGCTCAGCCAGGGGTTCACCCTGACCTGGGGATGCGCTTGCCTTTCTCGGGGGACAGCCGTGATGGGCGCTATGCACCAGCCGTTGGGGAATGCCCATCGAGGCTGTAGGGGACTATGTGGCTGCTTTACTTGTGCTCCCCTCCCCCCACCTGCCACCCTGGGGGCAGGCTGGAGTTCAGGCTGAGGCAGCTGGAAGGGGCAATGCCTCCTGCCTCCCCCATCCGCTCCTCCCCCTTCCCACTTGCCATCCCCTCCAACCTGGGGGGAAGCCGATCCCGCCCCAGGGCCTTCTTTTGTAGGGAAGCTTTTGGTGGCAAGGAGGGGATTTTTTTTTAAGAAGAGGATGTTTTAGAAAATAACCGATGTTTTGTCTTTTGGAATGTGAAGCAATAGATGTTCTGTGTTAAAAAGAAAAGAAAAAGACGGTGCTGAAAAAAGACTGAAAACCCGTCTAACCGCCATCCGCCCAGAGCTTCATCCTTTCTCCCGGTTGGCCCTCCAGTGCATGCCGTCTGAGGATGCTCCTGTGTTGCCCCTCACGGGGGACCAGCAGGGCTGGTGGGCAGGCTGCGGGCCGGGGAGGGGCAGCACAGGCAGGGCCCAAGACAGAGCTTGGTCGAGGGGACCCAGGTGATCCCTGAGCACCTGGTCAGCCAGACTCACGGCTGAGTCCGGGCCTGTTCCCGAGGGGTGGGCCACCGCCACGCAGTCACCCAGCCAGTCTTCTCGGGATCTTCAGCCCCCATGGACTCCTGCCATCGGGAGCCTTGTACGACACATACAGAGCAGCCACCCCTTCGGTCAGCAGGATGACCACAGGGACCTATCGGCATAGTGGGCCCATTGTACAGGTGAGGAGACCGAGGCCTGGGGCAAAGCCTTTGTCCGAAGCAAGCACCCAGAGTTCAAAGGGGACCAAGTTCTGCCTCGCAGCGGTGGCTGAGGCCCTCCCCCTGGATCTCTGAGAAGAATGACAGGTTCAGAGAACACATCCTTCCAGGCGCCAGCCCCTCAAGGCAGGCATGTGCTAGGCCCGTCCTCATGGCAGAGGAGACTGAAGTCCGAGACAGAGGGGGTGGGTCACTTGCTCAAGGCCAGCCGGCCAGCAAAGAGGCACTTCAGGACCCTACTTCAGTGTCTGGCTGTTAAAGCGGCAGATAAGAGGGAGGTTTGGGTTGGGAGAAGCAGCATAAGTCATACCCTCTGGCCACGAGTGTCCTGTCTCTTGGCCCAGTCTCAGCCCCAGCGCTGACCTCCCTCCCTAAGGGGAGGGCCGCAGGCTTGGCGGCACTGCCACCTGGTGGCTAATTCTGGCCACCAAGGACAGGCTCTACTGCTGGGAGGGGGCTCCTCCTGTCCTGCGGGGGATCCCAGCAGAGCTGGCATTTGCCTGGTAGAGAGGAAACGCCAGGAAATCCAGGGCCAGGCCAATGGGCTCTGGACTGTCAGCCCTGTGTGACACGGGGTCTGTTCCTCCACCTCGCTGAGCCGGCTTCCGCACCTTTGAGGGCTGGTTGCGCAGCACAATAAATGTTGAGGAGGAGGAGGAGGATGAAGGCAGCAAGTCAGATGCCTTCTCCTCTGCCGATGGCGAGGCTGGTAGGCTTCTTCCAACACACCTGATGCTTCCCAGCGCTGCTTCCTCCGCCCTCTTTGTTCTTTGGGGACCCCATTCTCTGGCGGGGCCCAGACTCCTGCTCATGCAGGAGCACAGCCCTCTCGCTCCAGGGAGCTCAGCTTTGGGGAGACCCTGAGCAGGGGGGTGAGGAGGCGGCCTGGGAGGTGGGGGGCTGTGGGTCTGCCTGCCACCTTAGGGTGGGGAACAAATGCCTGTGTCTGTCTGTCCTGGGAAGGCCAAGGTCAAGGAGTCCTTGGCCCTGGCTCACTGTCCAGTCCTGCCTCCTTTGCATGACCGTCCTCATGGAGCCTCCAGAAGGCCAGCGCCCCCCACTCCCTTCAGGGCGCTCCCCACTGCCTCGCTCCTCGCTCACAGGGCATCAGCAAGCAGTTCTCCACACACTCCCAAGGGTGCTAAAGCCCCCAGGACTGACCTGTGGCCTGATTGTTTTCACAATTTAAAAAAAATTCTTACTAGCCTCCGGTAACTCCCAAATGCTTCTAGTAATCTTCATCTTCCAAACTTCTCACTGTCAGCAAGTCTATTCAAACACAGAGCAAGCCCAGAGGACAGCGTAGAACTGCCCCTGTGAGTGTCCAAGACGGGAAGGCTTTGGGGGTGTCTGTTCCGAGTCGCGGCTGGTGGTTTCCGACCATGGTCATCAGCCCAACAAGGAACCCACTGTGCTCCCAGGGCTGCCTACTGTGGCCTGGCCACAGGAAAGGATGGTGAGGATGATGGTGACGGCACAGTGACGATAGAGATAGAGCAGATGCTGGCTCATCAATTCCAACTCCGGCAGGGACGCTATGTGTGCACGTGGATGACCATGAGGCTCACATGACTGAGACCTGTCAGACACAGAACTGCAGCCTGTCTCTGAGTGGGTTCCAACCACTCACCATTCCATGACCAGCTCTGTAGTGGGCCGGCCCCCCAGCCCTGCCCAAGACCGGGAAGGTGGTGTGTCCGAGACCCTAACCAGAACCCAGCGAAGCCTCGCCTGGCACGCTGGGAATAACCACATGATGGAGAGTCTGTTTATTTCTTTAATTTTTAAAAATGAGTAAGCAGACAACCTTGTGCCCTTTGAATACCAAATAAAAAGGTCCATTATGCAAAACAGTACAACCTTTTGTTTTTTAATAATACTGTAAATATCTCAGAAAGGATGTATTGTTTCTAAGGAATATATCAAAAAGTCATCACAATGGTGTATTTCCCTTGCCCTGGCATTCCCCGCCCACCCCTAGAGTTACCCTAAGACTAGAAGGAACCACAATATAAAACAAAGCAAACCCCACCCACCCCCAACTTCTCCCTGCGCCCCGCCAATGAGCAGTGTTAATGTGCCGGGGGCCAAATGCCAGGGGAGGGCCCATGTGTCTGATGAGGGTGCTTGCATCTGTGAGGGGTGGGTGGTGGAGACCCCGTAGTAGCAGCAGTGGGAGGACCCCCTCCCATTGTTGAGCAAGACGGGCTGGACTCTGGGAGGGGCCGTGTGGGTCCTGGAGAAGGGGGGTGGGCTGTGAGCACAAGGGGGCCTTAGACCCAGAATTGGGATCTGTGCCCGAGGGAGAGCTTGGGACCCCTCTGAACACACCCAGTTTGGGTGGGGGGAAGGGGGGAGGCGGCAGGAGCAGAAGAATTGGGACTTTGGAGAACTTTGGGCAAGCCAAACCAGGTGTGAGTTCTCTTTCCACTAAGGTCTGTGTACAGTCTCTCTCCCTCAGCCCTGCAGGACTCGAGGGAAGCTTGTCTCCCTGAGAAAACTGGGGCCTAAGAAGGAAGGCTGTTCCTTCTTCTTCGTCACCAGTAACTCAGTCATGGGCGTGCGCTTGACGGCTGAGACTTCCATGTGACCCAGGCAGGTCGGAGCCCCCAGCAAGCACTGAGGGCACAGTGAGGAGGCTGGAGGGAGTGGGCAGGGGTGCCCCTCCCCGATGGGAGGAGCAGAGAAGTGGTCTACGGTAGTGGGGAGGAGAGAAGAGGTATGTGGGAGACAGGCTCCCTTGTAACTAACTGCCTCCCCTGGGAAGCGGTTGAAGGTCCTCAGACACAGATCCTGGTGGCAAGGTGGTCGGGGAACACAGTTGCCTGGGGAACAGATGGCTGACCCTGAAACCCAGCCCATGAAGAAGAGGGTTCTGGCAGTCCAGCCAGCCGGGCCTAGGTGGAGGGACTCCGAGGGTCAGGGCTGAGCACCGCAGCACCTCTGGGCACTTCTGGGTTGGGCTGGACTGTAGATGCTGGGGGCTTTCAGAGGCAGGTGAGAAGGGGGAAGTGGGGGAGGGGCATGCAGGGGTCACCTAACAACTTTTTGAGGGGTCCCAGACCAGCAAAGAGAGCCAACGGCATCCTGCAAAGAGGAGACCGGGGCAGAACTGAAAGAGGTTGGGGTCCAGCCCTTCTCAGTGGGCAGATGGGGAAGCTGAGGCCCAGGGAGGGAAGGGAGTACCCAAGGTCACTTAGTGAGATGCAGAGGGTTGGGGGTGTGTGCAGGTGATGAGGGGGTGCCTGCAGCCCGACTCCTGGGGCTTGGCAGGACTTGTTCTTCTCTGCCACATGGCCTTGCCAAGAGGCTGGCCTGGGCAGGGTGTCATGGGGCAGGCGCAGCTGCAGAGGGCCGGGGACAAGCCCGGGAGGACATGGAAAGGTCCCTCCAAGGCTTCCAGAGAGAAGAGCAGGTGCCACTGCCACCCACCTCCCCCACAGCCAAGGAACGGACGCTTTACAATATTATACACTCAGCTCTAACCCCTAGAGAACACTGATTAAAATACCCTCAGGCAAGAAGGTCCTGCTAGTCACTGTACAATATTATCTCATTGTCATGGTTACTTACAGGATCACAGGGCAGGGGGAGGGGGTGACTTTAAACCAAAGTGTACAGAAGCCACCTGAACATTAACTGGTTAATACATCTTGTGCAAAATGAGCAAGCCCCTATCATTAGGTGAAGGTGTGTCGGGGATTCCTGTACACAGGGAGGAGGGGAGGGGGTGGCAGGTGACCTCGGCCTCTCAGAAGTCCGTCTCCTTCTCTGTGATGGCTGCAATGGCCCCGTCCCCCTTGAGTTTTGCGTCACAGTCGTTAACTGTCACCGTCCTTGGGCCTGCCCCAAGCTTGCCTCGCATCTTCAGATCAGCACTGGGGATGGTCAACTTCTTGAGTTTCTGGATGGTTGGAGACAGCAGGGGAGAGTGGAATCAGAGGGGTTGCGGGGCGGGGGGTGGGGGGGGCGCAGAAGGGGGTATGCTGGGGTCTGGGTTTGGGCCCCAGCTTGTCATTCCCAGGGCTTCCCCTGGTTATGAATGGACTTACTCTGGCCTCAGTTTCCTTATCTGGAAAACAGGCACCAAGGCGGGGTGCTCGCAGGGCGGTGGGCAGTGCCTGCTGGCTGGCGTGTGATGGGGCAATGGAGGATGGTGTGGCCAGCAGGCTCCCCATGCCTGTCCTCTCCTCCCACACCGTGCCACTTCTGAACACCTCAAAGTCACCTGGAAGTTTGGGCAGTGGCTGCCCCAGAGACCGCCAAGGTATCTAGTCTTCTCTGGGGGTCCTCAGTCCCAGATGAGAACTGACCTACGCCCTTGGGAGACTGCATTCCTTGATGGAGTCCAGGAGCCCGCTTAGCTCACTCTCCAGGTGAGCCGAGGCCCAGGCCCCTCAGTGGATGAGAGGGTGGGGTAGAAAAAGCAGCCTCTGAGGGGGGCCTCTGGGCATACACAGCCCTGCCTCCATCTCCCATTGCACTTGGCCTGAGTACGGGGCAACTGCCAGCTCTTGGCTGCAAGGACGGGGCAACTGCCAGCCCTTGGGTGTGGTGCTGGGGTCGAACTGGGCTCACTGTGGGGAACCCGTTGACCACCCTGCATCCACTCAGAGACTTGCCCACCACGTAGAGGCTCTGTGCCCACAGGCAAGTTGCTGGACCGAGCTGCGCGTCCATGTCCCAGCCTTAACAAGGGCAGCAAGCATCTCCACTCAAAGGGCAAAGAGCCCCTGACTGACTCCCTGACGCTGTAAAGGGCGGGCAGAGGAGAGGGTGCGTGTGCTGCGGCCTGCCTGGGGGAGGCCATGCTGCAGAAAGGCAGGGGAGTAACTGCTGGGTCGGGGCGGGGACGGACGTTCTTGGGGCATCTTATGGACCAGACCCAGCACCCAGACGTGGCCCTGTGGGGTGGCCGCCGGCTTTGGCATTCATCCTCCAGGTATGTGCCACCACTGGGGGTGCTGCATGACACCTACAACACACCTTCACCTGCTCGTCTGGGCTATGGGGGTCTCAGGGGAGCCCCTTCACTTCCCAGAGCCCCAATCCCCCACCATGACAGGCAGACAAAGGTGCCTGCTACTGGGGAGCTCTGAGGACTAATGAGATGGGTGGGCCTGGAGGCGGGCAGGCCTTCTTCAAATGCCCCATCCTCAGCCCCTGCCTGGGAGTGGGGTCTCTGACGGAGGAACCAACCCTGGGTCCCTCTCTGGACCCCAGGTCCTGGGTGAGTGCTTTTCACACATGAATGGGGAGGTGTTCTCCCCACGCACAGCCCCCCCCCCCCCAGTTGCTGGTCTCATTTCACAGGGGAGGGAGCTAGGGTGGCTGGGGGAACTGGCTCACCCAGAGGCCTCCTGCAACTGCAAGGGCTGGCACCCGCCCACCTCCCTGAGAAGCCGACGGGGTGTGGTTTCATCACATCCACTGTCCAGATGAGAAATGGGGGGCTGCCAGCCTATGCACCTGCGGGGCGGGGGGGAGGGCTGAGGGGGCACCTCACCTCGGACAGGGTCCCCTCCATCTTCCACACCTTGATGAAGACCCACAGGGGGATGCAGACCATGGAGGACAGGGCCATGAGCCAGCCGATGCCGTAGCCCCAGGCGGGGTAGGTATAGACGTTGTTGTACTTGAGGGGCTTGTACTTGACCAGGAAGAAGATGAAGATGCCCTGCAGACACAATCACACACCTCTGGTGGCAGAAGTGGGGTCACAGGCCATCCCCTGCCCTCACCAAGCCCACGCTGGCAGCCTCGCAGAGAGCCAGGTGTCAGTGGGGTAAGCAGTGGATGCAAGGGGGCCCTGGGGTGGGTATGGGTGGGGGGGCTCACCGCACAGATCCCGGGTGTCACGACCTTCCAGCACCATTTAATGAGGGACAGTGGCCGGTAGCCAATCATGTCTTCAATGTTATCATAGAACCTGTTGCTTCCTGTCCAGAATACACACAGAGATACATACACACACACCCCCCCCAGAGGGTCTTTGTATAAAACTGAACAGGCTTCTGGCTGCCTGAGCCTGAGATAGGTAGGCAGCTTCAATTCCCCCAGCTTAGCACAGGTCAGGAACGGGAGGCTTTAGAACGAATTGCAGTGGGATGGATTCTGGCGCGTCCACGGGAAGAATGGGGCGAAGGTGGGGGTGGGGTGGGAAGCGCAGGGAGGGAGAGACATGCCTGGTGGGGGCGAGCGTGGAGCTGAGGGTCGGCATGGTCTCCTACGCTGACCCCATTTTACAGGCAGGGCCGGGGCAGCAGGCCGGAGAAGCGGGCACCACCCCTGAGGAGCAGGACCGCCCGGGGAAGGAGGGGCGAGCGGACGTGGCCCCGCCCACCAGCCCCGCCCACGCGGCCGCTCACCGTAGACCCAGCCGATGCACACGCACTCGAAGATGGCCACGAAGAGCAGGCACATGCCGCTGGCCGCGTAGGAGTCGAAGAGCTGGAAGATGTACATGCCGCCCTGCGGGTGGACGGGCGGGCAGCAGGGTCAGCCAGCCCCGCGGACCTCCACCTGCCAGACGTTAGGGACCGCCCAACCTCTCCCACCTTTTCACCTGCCCTCTGACGTGTATGTCAGCCGGAGGGATGGTGTGAGGCCGCATGCACAGACTGGCAGCCTCAGGGCTTTCCCGACTGCTGACTGTTCCCCTGCCTGCCGGGTGTTCTCTCCAGCCCTCCCCGTGCCCGCTCTGCACGCGCACCCGCCTGGCCCCTCCTCTGTTCATATTTACGATGGGCCCCTCCAGCCACTGGGCAGGGTTGCCACAACCCTGTTGGCCTCATCTGCCCTGCCTTGCCCTCCCACCAGCCACACTCCCTCCTGGAGACCGCAGGCCAGTGCCACCTCAGTGCCGTACACCTGTTCCCTTCCACTTGGCAGGTATCCTCAGAGTCAGGTCAGATGCCACCTCCTCAAACAAGCCTTCCCTCCACCCCTTGGGCTGCCCTCCCACATTTTACAGACCGCTGTTTCCAAATGTCCTCCCCTCAGTGGCTTGGCTCCCACAGGGACTATAGTCCTTGGCTCGGGGCAGGAGATCCACAATGTTCGCACGGGAGTGAGCTCCATGAAGGAGGGCCTCTGTGGGCCTGTGCTGTGTCCCACTGAGCAGCGCACAGTAGGTGTGCAGCCCGTCTCTGTGGGATGCCATAGTGACCGGGGCCAACTCCGTGAGGTTCTGTTCAGGGGGAGCTGAGCGCTCCGCTGGCCAGGTGACAGGGAAGCCTTTGTGGGTGCCTGGGTAGGGACGTGCCCAGGGGCACTGAAGAGGGGGTCCTGATTGCAAAGAGGTAGAGTGGTTGCCCTCTGCCCAGAAATCCCATGTGACAGCCGGGGTGTGGCTCAAGAAGTAAAACAGAGAAGTACCAGGTGGGGTCCAAATGCCAGGACAGGGGCTAAGTGGTCAGACTGAAGCAGGACTGGCTCACAGGGACCTATCTGCAGTTGGGCTGCCCGCTCCCCCACCCGCCGCCCCCCACAGCATCTGAGCACACCTCTTGGGCTGTCTGCTGCCTTGGTCATCTTTCTCTAGCTCAGGGATAACAGTGCACCTGCCTCCAGGGAGGGAGGTGACAAAGATGAGTACCTGGTGTTTGACTCCAGGGAGTGGTGGGGACTGCGGCCAAATGAGCCCACTGGCCCCACCTGCTGGACACACAACTCTGGGGTCCTGCTATTGGAGGGTGTTTATGGGACATCCCTGAAACCTGGGTGTTTAAGAGAGACCTTTCTTAGCAATGTCTTCGTGATGTTAACCACGGGGGTGAGGGTCAGGGGAAACAGGTCTGGCCGAGGGCCCCTGGTGGATGGTGCTGCTGAGAAAATTCGACCCTTGGGGACAAGGGCAGCTCTGTGATTTGGCTGGCTGCTCCTTGGGGAGGCCACTGAGGTCACACCCACAGTGCATGGGTGGGCACTCACCAAGTGCCAGGCTCCAACCGCCCCCATCCCCTGATCTAGTTGGTCCCTTTCAACCTGATTGCAATGGTGGGGATCCTACTGTCCCCACTGGTCATGTAGGAAAACTGAGGCACAGTATTGGGGGAACCCTGGCTAGAGGCCATCCAACTACGAAGTCAGAGGCTGAGGCCTTAGTCCAGGCAGCCTGTGGTAGTTACATGATTTCACATCAACTTGAAGTTATAGGTAGAGTCTAGCCTGTCAATCAGGTCACAGCCTGATGGTGCCCCCTGTGGGTGTGGCCTCCTCTTAAGGAGGGTCCTGGAAACCTCCCCCCTCTCTCTGCCTTCACCTTCTTGTTGCTGCCACTCGGAGACTGCGCCAGCCTCGGACAGTCCACCACCTTTGGATCCACACGACTCTGCACCCACCGGCCTGCGATCTTCTGCATCCAGCATCACTGCCTGTGGCTGCGTGAGTCTGAAGAGGGCCTTATGGACTAGTACCAGACTTGTGGACTAGATCTGGACTGGGCCGGGGCGTTTGCTGGATAAGTAAGGTTTCTTTATAGAAAGCTCTCTCTCACACACAGGTGAGTATCTCTGGATTTTTTTTTCCTAGTCAGCGCAGCCCAACACCCCACCCCAGGGCCCAGGAGAAATGAGGAGACCCTCTCGGCCTTCCAGCCGGGAGCTGAGCTCCAACAGTGCGTGGATGAGGGGGCTCATTCTGCGGTGATTCTTGTGAAGGCCAGCTCCTCACGGCTGTCTGACGAGTTCCACTTCCTGGGGGCACCACGCAGACAGCCCAGTCAGGCAGCAGGGGAGTGTGTGAAGCCCAAGAGCCTGGGGGTTAACGGGCAGATCCCAGGCCTCGGGAGCAGGGTGCCCATGCACCCACCTGCCTGCGCCCAGCCACTGCTGCCTTTGCCCACACAGGCTTTGTGCAGTCACTTGAATGTGGTGGGTCTGTCCCTGACAAGCCCTGGACTGCGGGTAATTAATCAGTGCCTAATGAAGCTGGTCCCAGTGCATGCGTGCCGAGAGAGGTAGTGGCAGCAGGGGCCACCACGTCCTTCCTGGGCTCTGATGATCACTCTCAGTAATGTGACAACGAAGGGGGGCAGGCCTAACATCCTTGCAGTGCACACAGCATGCCCACCCTGTGCCAGGCTCTGGGCTGGCACTCACCGAGGGCTCAGAGCCAGATAGGACTCGGCTCTGTTCCCAGGGGACTCAGAGTCGGGCAGGGCAAGCAGGTAAGTGGGAGGATGGACATGATGTGGGGAGAGATGCTGAAATGAGCTGTGAACAAGGTGAGTGGGGCGGGGTGGGGGGCGGGCTGCAAGAGGGTCCAGTGCTCTAACAGGGGAGGAGAATAGGGGTGGGGGGCTTCCAGGAGGAAATAGCATCTGAACTGGGAGAGGCAGACCAGTGGGCTCGACAAGGTGGCATCTGCCCAAATGCTTTCTAAAGCCACCTAGAAATTGGCAACTATGTTTATCTATCCACGCCCCTCATTTTACATCCAGCCTCTTCTGGTCTCTGGGCCACAGTGTTTTGTCTTTTTTTTTTCCTTCCTTCTTTTTTGCGAATGTGCTGGTGGAAAGAAAAACACCTAATTTCACCTCCCTGGGATGCTCAAGCATGCATTTATTGGACAGGGTGGCCCGAAGGATGCTAGAAAGCCTGGCTTCCTCTGCTAGGCTTAATCCAGGTGTTGTGGTGAACCCCTCCTTGCCTGCAGACACAGGGGGCCGGGGACCCCAGAGCGTACTCCACCCGGAAGGGTCCAATCGGCATCCATCCTCAGGGGCCCCTGAGAAAGCTGCTCTGAGCATCAGGCATCAGTGACAGGGACACACCAAACATGCTGGGCTGGTAACCAAGACTGGGGGCTCAAGTCCGCCCACAGGTGCCGCACTAGAAAGGCCCAGCCGTCGACTTATGAAAAACCTGACGCGGGGGCTGCCAAGTGCAAGAACCAGCCCAGCGGGGGTGGGGGTGGGGGGAGCTGATTAGCTTAGAGCAGGGGCTCCCAAACTTACCGGGCTTTGCACTCTTTTCCCAGAAAAGGAAGAAAAAAGTACTCAATGTGCCCCCAGTCATGAAAGACCTCTGTGCTATGACCCATCACGCAGGCTGGTGGGAGTGAGATGCCTCCCACACGCCGCTCCCGGTAGGCCATCGGAACCCACGCGAATGCAGCTCACAGAGAGCCTTCCTTGGGCCACAGGGTGTCAAATCAGAACAGACACACATTTCTGAAACCTGGGTACAGGGGCTTCACAGCTGGGCAGGGAGAAGTATGGAGCCTTGGGAGAGGTGCAGTGGGCACTTCCAGGCACGCAGGGGAGACGGGCTTACTGCAAGGACTGTGGAGAACAATGCACACTCCAGGCAGCCCGAGGCCGCCATCTGGGCGTGCGGTCAGCCGCCATCTTTGTATTCTACCGTTCAGTCTCCGATCAAGGGACGTGGTCACTCTGCAGTGTGCTCAATGCCTTCGTGTTCGGAGAGGGAGATGGAGTTGGTAGCCGGGCCCGGGCCCGTGAGCTCTGCCTTTCGAGTCACCGTCCCACTGCCCCCACAGTTTACAAAGGCCTGTCCATTCAGGTTTTCCTTGGAACCGGGAGGCACCAGTTCAAAGCCATGGAGGAAACAGAGTGGAAGAGTTGGTCACACTGTGAGCCCCTTCCTGAGCTGGGCCATGGGGGAAGACATGCCCAAGTCAGAGCCACCCCTCCGTGTCACTCACCTCGGTCAACATGACGAGGCCCAGGAAGTAGGAGACGATGGACAGGGCCAGGATGAGCAGCTCTCGCCGGTAGCCCCTCCGGAAGACCTTGGGGTACATGTCCACCACGGCCGTCACCAGGCTCTCCACGCATACAAACTGTACGGGTGGACAGGAGGGTGTGAAGCCCAGGAGAAGCACCAACCCCCGTGGCCTGATGCCCATAGCAGGCCTACATCCTGGATCCTTCCCGGGGTCCTGTCCTCTCCCATGCGCACTCGCAGATGAGGACCCCGGCCGCATGAGTCCCAGCGCCTACCAGCTCCGGCATGCCCACTGCACAGACGAGAACAGAGGGGAGGGGAAGGTACCTGCCCGAGGCCACTAAGTGAGGGGGTGGCAGAGTCTAGTCTTAGAACTGCAGATATAGACCTGCCCACCTGTACACTGCCTCGCCTTGTCCGTGCGCCAGGGTGGGGGATCTCCACGAGACCACCTCCTGCCCTGGAGCCCCTGAAACTGCCTGGCAGCTGGGCAGTCTATGGGGAGCAGCTGGCTCAGGGGCTGAGATTTTAATCTCCCTGTTCTCCAGGACTGGGATGATCCCCGGCCCCTTTCTCTTGGTGAAAAACCACCCTTCTCCCCGCAGGGGACTTGGGGAGGTCAACTCTCAGCTCCTGGGCTTCCTCTCTGTGCCGTGGGGTCAGGGCAGGCAAGACGGCAGCACCTGAGTCACATGACGCCTGTGTGCCAAGCCCCGTGGGCTGGCACAGGTTGGGCATGCCTGCTGTTCCGGTCTCCCCCACTGGCCCCCAGGCCTCCACAGCTCCGACCCAGCACACTGCCCACCTCCTCTGGTGGTGCCCACAGCACTCGGTGCAGCTCTCCCTTGTGACCTTTGCCCTGATGACGTCTCCTAGCGCCCCCAGCAGCCCCCTCCTCAGTGCCCGGTGGGGTCTTGCTGGGCCTTAGCTGTTGGCCTCTAAGCAGGGGAGGCCTAAGGTCTGCATATGCCTCATTCTCATCTGTTTCCAGTACTGGTGTCCCTGGATGGTGCGAACGGTCCACTGACTAGCTGCAGGCTCCAGTCCACCCAGAGGAGCCTTGGAAGAAATGCCTGGTGATCTACTCCCCCCAAATGAGTCCCTGACACCCAGCACAGGAGCAAGGTCCTAACTCTACTCTGAAACACGCGGGAGCCTCAGGAGGGACGTCGCCTTGGTCTTGCCAGTTTTCGGTCACTTGCTTCCAGCCCCCTGGCATAGAGAGGCTCAGAAAGTCAACACGCTAACGCTGGCCAGGTGCTTCCCCTGCTCCTGAGCAGATCCTCCGCTCTCTGCACAGCGCGTGTACCCCCCATTGCCGTTTCCTAAACAAGGTCTCTGGGGCTCAGGGAGGTGGAGGGACTGGCTCGAAGCCTCGTGGGTCTTCTGTGGCAGAGCCCGGATTTGAAAGAGGTCACCTTGTTCCACAATCCGGGCTTTCCCCACTGTGGGGTCCCCCACCCCCCACCCCACCTCCCATGGAAGCCGGGGCAGAAGGTGAAGCAAGGGGTGAGGGAGGAGGGAGAAGCCAATGATTCTCTTGCTTGGCAGCCTGCGGGGAGGCCTCCCTTTCCCCAGAGCCAATTCTCCGCACCAAGGACGTTCCAATTCGCTGAAGCACAGAGAAGTGAAGCTTAATATCCCGAGTCACACAGCTGGCACACAAACCCTAGCTGATGATGGCAAGGCCGGCTTTGCTTCTGCCTGCTCCAGACCCCAGGGTAAGAAAGGAAGAGCTGTCTGTCTGCCCAGGATCAAAACAGAAGTGACATCAGTGTGTGGACAGACCCGGGCCCAAGCCCCAGCAAGTCACTTAGCATCTTTGAGCCTGTTTGCTCGTCTGCCAAATGGGGACAATGGCATGAGAATGAACAGGGCTGGTGCTGTAAGGACCACAGGCTGGACCCGCAGCAAGGGCAGCCTCCAGGGTCTGGGCCCCTCCCCACCTCGCACACAGAAGATGCTAGGCTGGCTCAGCCCAGAGACTTAGAGCCTGGGCCCCACTGCAGCTCAGCCAAGGCAGCTAGTCACATCCGACTGCTGATCCCCACCCCTGAGGCCTCTGCCCGGGACAATGGAGGGAAGATGATCAGTCTGCACACCCGGATCCTCAGCGGCTCAACTGGGTCATCTCTGAGAAAGCCTCTCAGAGGAGGAAAGGAGGCTTGGCTGAGCCAACAGGCATGCAGGCCTGGGGCTCAGGGGCTGAGCGACTTGTCCATAGTCATGGATGGGGGCAGCTCTCACTGGGGTCAGGGGAGAGGAGGATCCTGGCAGCCTCAGAGGGACTGAGTCCTGACCTGCACCAAAGGGACAGCTCCTGCCTCGTTCAATCCCAGGCCCCCCACTTCTAGAACATTCCTGCCTAACACAAGCCTGACTCACCAAGAGCCTGGGTTTGACAGTGGGCTCACTGGCTGAGACTTGGAGCAGACTATTAACTGGGGGTGGGGGTGGGGGGGCTTTCTGGGCTGAGGAGTGAGCAGAACTGTTAGGGAGCTAAAGCAGAAACTAGGGGTTGTCCCTCTACATGCTAAGGCGTCCCTTCCCTGTCACAGGAGCTTGGAAGCCGATCAAGGCTAGAGGGCATGCACACATTCATAACCTTGAGACAGGAAGCAAGTATACCTGGGAGGGCCCCAATCTAGGCCAGTGGGCTTAATTCAGACAATGGGGTCAACCAGTACCCTCAACCAGTGGAGGACCCTGAAAAGCCAGATTTGGGAGCCCACCACCCTCTTTTCCATCTGCTCCTCCTTGGCTGAGCTGCGGTTTCTCTGGCCTCTGGTCACCCCGTGTGGAGTGAAGGGCCCTGAGGTGCCTGTGTACAACCTGAACCGTCTTCTGTCCTTTATAAAACTCACTTGGATCACAAACCAGGCTTCAGCATGAATTCTTTCTTATGCAAGGCCAAGGACCATGGTATTTCTCACCCCAGAAACCTAACAGAACCACAGCAGGAGGAGGGGAAGGGGCGTGTGAGAGGAGACAGGTGCACCCAAGGGTACTGTGCCCTTGTCTTTCACTGGAAGGCAGGCTGCTGGGGGTGAGGGGAGACCCAGAAGTCAGCAGGGGGAAGCAGATGGTCAGGCGTGTGTGGGGGGTGGGGTGGACGCAGCACTAAGTCATGGGGGCCTCGGGATAGGGATGAAGGGGAAATAAGTTGGGCAGGCTGCTGGTCACCTGACTCCCCTATGAGCCCTTCTGCTCTGCTAGGGGGTGATGCTGGCCTAGATGTGGGCTAGCTGGATACTCGCACTTATTGATTACAAAAGGAACTCCAGGGAGAATTCAGGAGAGGAAGACAGGGTTTGTAAAGGCTTGCAGTGGCTGTGCCCCCCCCCCCCAGGGGCCACTGGAGACTGTGCTGGGGAGGAAGCAGAATGGGGACAGGTGGCAGGGTCTTGACTACCACAACCAGGAGGTGACAGATCTAGGGGTAGCAGTTGGCCAGCTGGCCCCCAGCCCTGTGCTCTCCACACACCCCCACCCTCTGCTCCAACCGCTCACCTGGCTGTCCAGACCCAGGAAGATGAGCATCATGAAGAACAAGGTGGCCCACAGAGGGGACAAGGGCATCATGGTGACAGCCTTGGGGTATGCGATGAAGGCCAGGCCAGGGCCTGGAGAGGAAGAGGGTGGAGAGGAGGGGGCTGCTGGGTGGGCCCAGGCCTAGCCCCTCCTTGGACTATTGTTACCTTAATCCAACATCCCTGGGTGAGCCAGGTCCTGGGCCACTCTCTCACTCTTGCAGGCCTGCCAGACTGTGGTCCTGGGCGGTGCCCAGGGTGGTGAGCAGGCTGGGACCCAGGAAGGTGAGAGAGGACGGAGTCTGCAAACCCAAGTTGGTCTAGCACACAGACCTTCTGCTACAGGACACAGAACGGTCCACTGGTTCTCAACCTATAGGTCGCGACCCCTTTAGGGGTCAAACGACCCTTTCACAGGGGTCGCCCAATGCATAACAGTAGTAATATGACAGTGATGAAGTAGCAACGAAAATAATTTTATGGGTGAGGGTCACCACCACATGAGGAACCGTATGAAAGGGTTGCAGCATGAGGAAGTTTGAGAACCACTGTGCTAAACAGACCGAGCTCCACTGTTGGATGCCCTGCAGCCCTTCAGTCCCCACTGGCAGAGTGGGACCGGTCCCTGAAGAAGGGCATCAGGAGTAGGGGTCCGCAAAAGAACGAGGACCCTCAAGGAGCTGGGTTGGCACCGTGGCTGCAACATCAGGCCTCCACATGACAATTGTGAGGGTGGTGCAGCACCGGGCAGTGTCTGATTCTCACAGCACTTGGCTCTGTGAGTCAGAACAGACTTGACAGCGCCTGGGGCCCGGGCTGGACGCCGCCATCAGTGCCTGTGTCTCTCTTGTTGGCCAGGCCCACCCTCCCCCGCGCCAATGGGTCTGAATGAAGGGCTCAATTAACCAGGGAAAAGACAACCAACACCAGAGATACTACCTGGGCAAGCACACGCTTTGTAGCCGGGCGGCCTGGGTTCAAATCCTGACTCTTTCATTATTTGTTATGATCGGTGTCTGTTTCCATAGCTACAAAAGGGGGATCAAAAAGACCTGTCTCATCCGGTAGGAACCCTGGTAATGTAGTGGGCTACGCATCGGGCTAACTATAGGGTCAGCCGTTCAACTCCACCCGCTCCTCGGACGGAGAGTGGAGACTAAATGTCTGCAGGCTCAGAGACCCTAGGGAGCCATTCTCCTCTGTCCCGCAGGGTGACTGTGAGTCAGGATCGAGCCGGCGGACGGTGGATTGGGAGGTAGGAATATTATGTGGAGGTAGTCGAAGCCCAGTGAGATTCGATGGAAAGTACTTGAGAGGTGAATGCTTAATATAGGCTAGATCTGATGATCTGCGTGTGTGTTTTCAGTTAAAAAACAACCGGATTAAGATGTAGACTGCGCACCAGACAATCATTGTCAAGTGCACAGAGTCGCAGGCTTTGGTCAAGATCAAGATCCAGAACTTCCCAGTGGTAGTTACATAATCTGGTGTCAGTTTGGGACTTGAGTGGATTAAAAATGAAGGAGTGGAGTCTAGTCTGTCAATCGGGTCATGGTATGGCCTTCTTCGGGGAACTCCTGGATCTCCTCGTTGGAGGAGAGAGATACACACTCTCTATGCTGACTTCCTGAGAGACACTCAACTGACAAGACACATGGCGCGAGGCCCTGGGGGCTGGAGAAGCCACGTGGACCGACCCTGGTGCAACCAGACTTCTGGAGTGGGAGAAGCCATGTCGAGACCCCTGCCAGCGCTGAGATGCTTACAACACCACTGGATCCAGAAGACTTCCCCCTCACTGGCCTGTGACCCTCCTGCATTCAGTATCATTGCACATATTTCATGTGGACTTTATAGATTGGTATTGGACATATCAGCTAATATCAGGCTTATGGATTTGATCTGGACCGAGCTGGGATGTCTTCTCAATATTCAATTGCTGTTGTATATAAACCTCTTTCTTTTAAACATTTTTTTATAAGCCTTTTTCTTATACACATATGTGTGTTCATGACTTTGTTTCTCTAGTCTATCCAGAATGGCGCACATACCCATGGCCGCTGTGCTGAGGGGCAGCCAGCCTCACAGCCCCTGTCGGCAACACGGGATGAGCTGCGCCCACTGCTCCTAGCAGTGCAACTGCCAGGCCGATGCTGCCCTCGGTAAGAAAGGCCAGACTGGTTTCCGAGGTAACGGTGCCAATAGCCATACCTAGCTGCCACGTACGTCCGGGACTTCCAGTGGCTCATGGTCATTCTTTTCCACATTAGCCATCACTGCCTCATAGTTCAATGCTGCCTTTCCCTTGGGGCTAAACCCCTTCATCTGTGCTACTTGGCCATTCATTTGTCTCTTTCGGTAAAGTGCCTATTTGAGGGGTTTTTTAAAACCTATTTTTTTTAATTGGGCTGTCTTTTTTCTTATCAATTTGGGAGAGTCTGTATATGCTTGGGATGTCACCCCCTTGCCAGGGATGTCTGAGGGACAGCTTCCCCAGTCTGTGCTCGCTGCCTCCTTTCTTCACGGCGTCTTTTGAAGAGCAAACGGCGGACATTGTCCCGTCTGCGGTGACTCCTCCGCAGACGACAGGGCGGGGTTTTGGTCGGCTTCTCGGTGTCTTCTACGTGATCAGTGGCATTGTGAGTCTCGGCAGTTGGCTGTCTCGCCTTCCTGCCGTCTCTGAGAACTCCAACACAAGAGGAGGAGGAACGGAGACAACACGCACACTTGCTTGGGTCCCGATCTTAAGGCACCGCATTTCATTTCCCATGCAGAAAAATCAAACGCTGGTGCAACGCTGGTAACTAAACCACAGACCCTATTCACGTGTTACTGGTTATTTGCCATGACGCCCTTTATGTTCCAGAGTGTAGGCTCCTGACCCCATGCTAGATGCAGTGGTCTCTCTTACGTTTCTCCCAAAATATAGAGAGCTTCGAAGAGTCTGTGGGAGAATGGAATTCAGAGATGAAGGGGTTTCCCACAGACGTCTGAAGCCCCCTTGTCGGTGAGAGTGTTTGCTGTAAGTGCGGCCAGGACCCACCGGAGAACACGTAAGAGCCGCAGTCTAGCCCAGAGCTGTGAAGTTCAGGCTAGCCTTCTCCTTGCCCTTAGCTGTCACTCCTCAGACAGTGAAAGATCTGCCTCTAATCATGTATCAAATATTTACTTCGCTGCTCAATCCCAACACACAGACACGCACTGTTACGGGACTTCCAGTCTAAATACTGGTTTCCCAAATGACTCAACTTACTTCTGACCGCCCCCCCCCCCCCCCCCCCCCGCCTTCTCTCCGGTGTGGTTCCCCTTGTGCTCATTTGTTACTGTGTGTGCTCTGTTTTGAGTTCCACCCGCAGACGTTGTTGCTGTTGCTGCTGCGTGCTGTTGACTCCGTGCTGACTCAGAGTGACTCTGTGCACAACAGAGCAAGACCCTGCCCGGTGCTGCTGTGCCACCCTCACAGTGCTGTGCTAGTCTGTCAATCCAGCTCGTTCAGGATCTGCCTGGCCAAGCACGATGTCCTCCAGGGACTGGTCCCTCTGGATCCCCTGACCAGAGGATGCAAGACTAAAGTCTCACCCTCCTCGTCTCTAAGGAGCCTCTGGTTTTACTTCTCCCCAAACCAAATGTGCCCATGCATCCGATAGCGTGTGGTATGTTCCATACTCCTTGCCAACGTCCGAATTCAAATGCAGCACGTGTTGTCTGGCCTTCCTGGTCTACTGCCCGGCATGGTCCACTCACACGCAACCACTGTGTATCTATTTTGGGAGGGAGAGACTAGGAGAGTCTCTGGGTGGTGCCCACGGTTGACATGGACGGTCAGAGGTTTGAGTCCACTCAGAAGTACCCAGAAGGAAAGGCCTGGCAACTTGCCTCCAAAACTCTCAGCCGAGGGCAGCCCTGCAAAGGAGCACACCCTCTCTGGTGCACACGGCCTTCCACGAATGCAAAGCAAGCCAGCAGCTACTAGATGGGCCCCACCACGCCTGTAGGGCACAGCTACGGCAAAGGACACGGTGGAGGGATGGCCTTCCCCTCCTCCAGCCCTCCCGTCTCTCCAACCCTTCCCGCCCACATCAGGCAGGTAACCAACCGCTCTTTTTGGTTTCTAGCTGATTCTTCCTGCTTCTTCTGTACGCGTGAGCAGGGTGATTTTCTTACGCACCTTTCTTCGTTGCCAAGATGCATAACAAACAATCACCACTTGCTTTGTAACTTAACAGTACATCTTGGAAATCACAGGAAAACCACCCACGTCTACAGCTGCGATGCATGCCACTGTGGGGACGTGCCCGTTTCGTCAACCGCGCTCCGATTTGTGGGAACAGAGGGTGTTTCCCCAGGGCACACAGTGCTGCCGCAGAGCCCGTGCGTACAGGTGTTTGCATATTGTGGGAGGTGCCTATCTGGTAGAGTCCTAGAGGTGGGACTCACGGGACAAAAGGCATGTGTGCAGGTAAAGCCATGGTTCCCTGGTTCCCTGCAGCCGCTTTGCCTTCCCACCGGCAGTGCACGGAGATGTTCAACCGCTTCCTGGCTGCCAGAGAGAGGGGAGAGACGGAATGTCAGTGTTCCTGTCATTTGCACCTCTCGACACATGGGTCCGTGTGTACTTTTGGATGTTTGAGGGACATGTTCATCCCTTTTCTTGTGAATTGCCTGTTGGCACATTTTCCCCTTTTCCCTGTAGGATTTTCGGTGCGAGCCCCTCCGCTTTGAAGAACTCTTCATGTAAGAAGGCCGTCAGGCTGTTTGCTGTGGTTTATGTGGTAGATAGGTTCTGCCAGCCGGTTAGACGTCTTTCCGTGGGTGCCCTTTTTTTTTTCTTTCCCCACCATGAAGCTTATTTTTATTCCAACAGGTCAAATTTATCAATAATAATAATAATAATAATTTTTAAAAACCTCTGGGCTTTGAATAAGAATTGGAAGCTATTTTCAACACCAAGTTCAAAGAAGAATTACTTGAATGTTTTCCTCTAGCATTGGTATGGCTCCAGCTTTTTATACTGGATTCTCAACCTTGTCGGAGTTGACTCTTGCGTGTGACAGGAAGGAAGACTCGGATTTTGTCTCTTCCAGTGTGACCAC